GAGACAGTCGTGACCGGGCAGCGGGGCATTGGCACAGGGCCTTCCGGCCCACGCTCACCTTCTCATTTTCAGATGCACAACCCCGCGAGCCTAGCCCAGCAGAATACTTCTGCCCCATTAACAGATGATAAACTGAGGCTCAGACGGAAAGGGTGGCCTGTTCAAAGTCACACAGTTACTGAGGGGCAAAGACACCCCTCTAGGAATTTACATGTCATACAATATGAGGCCGAGGTTCAAATCCTCTATCACCCTCTAACAGTGTCACTCCAGGAAACTGACTTCGCCATAAATTGGGGACCATAGTATTGACCACGAAGAGCTGTTCCAACATTTAATGAAATCGCATGTGAAACGCTGCTGTAAACTGCAGAGTTCCAGCCAGCCATGAGCTGTTATGGTAGCACTTCACCTCATGAGCCAGGCTTTTTATTGAGACCCCCTTCTACACCAGAAGAGCTCCTAGCTATTCTTCAAAGCCCCCGCTCCCAAACCCCTCCTCTGGGAGGATGATCGGGATCCGCACTGAGCGCTTCCATAGCACAGAACCCAGGAGCAGCTTGTCCCGCAGGCTGCAGAGACCTGCAACCAGGTGAGTTAGCACCCCGAGGGAGAGCCCAGCCTGGGTGCTCAGCCACTTAATAACCCGTGAGGTGGGCATTCACTCGTCCCCCGAGCAGCTGACGAGGCTCTAAAAGCAGAAAGTTATTTCTACTTGCCTGTCTGCGGCTCCTTCTGGTGGCATTTTCTTACCGAGAACATAATTTTCGGTTCGGAGCCCGTGTCTAGGGAGCAGTGGTGGTGACATTTGCTACCGGGTTGTCGGGTCTATGGTCCAGGGAGGTCACTCCGCCCGGGGACCTCGGTATCCTCCGGGGGCATGTCCCCTGTACCCTAAAACAAAAAGTGGGCCAATAATGAGACACGGTGCCGGGAATGGGCACCTGTGTTCTGAGATTCAAAATAACGATAAAATAAAACGGAAAGCACAGTAATGCCCACCTCACCGGGTCACTGTGTGGCTGAGCGCCCAGGCTGGGCTCTCCCTCAGGGCCTCAGAATTGAGGTGCGTGCAGGCCAAGCTCTGACCTGGGGGCCCAGCAGGTTGCTGGTTGAGGTCCTTGTTTCCCCGCTAGCGGGTGGCCCACTCTGCTCCTAGCAGCCGCCCACATGCCCTCTTGCCTGACCCTCCACCCGCAACCCCGCGGTCCTGGCCTGTGTTCCTCCTGCTTCGAAGCTCTCTGACGTCACCTGCTGGAGGAAACGCCTGCTTTTAAGGGCTGCCCAAGGTCAAGCGCACCAGGTAATCTCCATTAAGGTCAAGCGGTGTGGGACGTCATTGCACCTGCAAAGCCCTGCAAAGCCCTGCACAGCTGCGCCTCGGTTAGCGTTTGGTGGAATAGCCGGAGGGCGGGACCTCGGGGCCCAGCTTTAGGGCTCTGTCCACCACGCCCGTCAGCCACGTTCGTTCGTTTTTTAATTTGCTTATTTCAGAGTTTGAGAGAGGATGTGAATCCACGCCCCTGCTGAGGGATAATAATAATAATAATAATAATAATAATAATAATAGTAACTATGCAGCTGGTAGCAGTAGATGGACAAGTATTTTAGCTTTAGCCCTGACAGTCGCATGGAAACTAAGATCAGTCGGGGAAAACACACACAAGCTCTCCTCTGTTCCGCCTGTGTGGTCTTGAGCAAGTCACCTACCCCGGTGACCAATCAGCCAAGTCGGGGGCCGATCCCGAGAGGACGTCTGCACCAAGCTTGGTGCCGGCTCCTTGGCTGTGATGAGCATCGCGCCCACGACATGCTGTCGAGCCATCTGCACGACCTTCTCCTAAGGATGTTTCGCTTCTTAAATGCCACCCTGTCCTCACTGGGGCCACTACGTGCCGTCTAGCTTGGTCTTCATGCAACCCCGGCCAGCTGCCCACCCCCCTTGCTCGTGTGCTCCGCTGGCTGGTCCGTGTAAGGAATCGTATATGGATCCATGCATAGGACACTCTCAGACCGGCAGCTTCACCTCCACGTGGAGATTTCCTGCACGGAGGTGAAGTTCTAGGCCTCAGGACCCCCTGAGCAGGCTCCCAAGAGCAGTGGCAAAATGACCTCTGTAGGGCCAGCCCCAGCTCCCTCTGGACCAGGTCCCCAGTGTGGCCGCGAGGTGGCAGCACAGGCAGGCCTCTGTTCAGGGACTCCCACAGTTTTGGATGGAGGTCCAGGGCATGGCCTCCTGGCTGGACTGAGCCATGTTTCCCTGTGCCCATGCCCGGTGCTTGCCTGTATCGGGACACAGTGGTGTAATTCTGCCCATTCCCCACGCTGCACCATGAGCTCCTTGCAGCAGGATGCCCATTTGATTTCCTGTGAGCCCCAAGAAAAGTTAGGAAATGAATATTTGTATCTCTTTTAAACCTCACAATAAATAATACAATCCCCGTTTTACAGGTCAGCTTACCAAGGCTAAGAGTAATAAATGACTTGCCCAAGGCCCCAGCCAATGAAAAACATGGCATATTGTTTTAAATTTTATTACAGAAAATTCCAAATATACAAACTCCCACAGTATCCATCATCTGGCTTAAACCATTACCAACATCTTGCAGTTTGTGTTTCTCCTACACTCATTTTGTTTTTTACCAGAGTATTTATAAAGCAAATTCCAGACACTGTGGCTAAATACTTCCACTTGCATCTCTAAAAGATTAGCACAGCCCAGCAGGGCGGCTTCGTCCCCAGTGGGGGGCATGCAGGAGGCAGTCGATCATCACTGACGTTTCTATCTCTCTCTCCCTTCCTCTCTCTGAAATCAATAAATAGATATTTTTTTAAAAATAAAAATAACAAAATAAAAGATTAGCACATTTTTTCCTAATCTCCAGGTCATTATCTCTTCCTAATAAAAGCATCGACTCATTATTAGTTTATATCCATATTTCCCCCACCGGCTCACAAATGCCTTTTTTAGTAGGTTTGTTCTATCATGATCCAAATAAGGTCCACGCATCCCACTTGAGTATGTTTTTAAGCTCTTTTATTCCCAAACAGTCCTAATTCCTTTTTTCCCCCCCTCCATGCCCTCAATTAATGAACAAACTGGCTGTTTTCCCATAGAACATCCTAAATTCTGGATTTGGCTGCGTGCCTCCTCCTACAGG